AGGTGGAGGGGGTTGGGTGTAGTCCGATACACGCTCGCTCATCCGAAAAGGAGGAGAAACAGCCGAGAAATCACCAACTCAATCATGGGCAGATGCAGAAAAAATTGCTTGACAAAGGCAAACACGATCATGGCAGCACCGATGACGGCGGCATCAGAATGGATGGTCCTTGAAATTGGGGCCAGTGCGGCTCCCATCGGCGCAACTCGAGTGGTGCGGCTGAAGACTCCGCAAGCTGATGGGCGGTGGGCGGGGATGAATGACGAACCGCCCCCGCGTCTCGAACTTGGGGGCGATAGATCGACCTCATGCGCCCCGAAGAAAAACTGACCGTCGAGCGTGTGCTGGAGCTCAGCTTGTCAGACATCAGTAGTGCTGAGATCCGCGGCGGTAACGACCTGGAATCCGCATCAGGTTGCGAGGAGAACCTTCTCTTCTCTGATCCACAACGACAAAGACGGATGGAGGACGAAACAAAGAGTCTAAGAAGGAGCCCCCTGCCCCGATATGCCAAGGCCATCATCGCCGTCAGCGCTTCCATACCACAAAACACACGCACCATAGGCGATTCCTCTTCTCCTCCCTTTTTTTTGTCCTTCAGGCACTGGGGTTCACGTGCCTGGTCGGAGGCTGGGGCTTCATCGTAAGCTGAAATTCATGGCAGAAACCTCTGCACTCCCATGACTGCATCAATTGCATTCACACATGTTGTGGCCTCTGCCTGCAGGACACCGGGATTGAGATCATGGCGGTGACGTTGCCACTCCGGCTTCTCGCCTACGCTCTTGTCACTGTTGCGGCAATCATCGGCCTCTGTATTTGCTCTTTCATCTACGAGAAGAAAATCAGGTCCGAGTCGCGGATCCACATGCACACTGCAATGCGACGTCATGTGTCTGCGATGGATGGATGAATGGATGGATGGATGTGTGTGTGCAGGTTTAAATTGACCCGATGGGTGACTCGGGCATCACCCTGAGAGACAGCCACTCCAACCTCACACTGGGGGAGGACACTGGCAAGCCCGAGGCAGCGCAGGGGGATGGAGGGACAGACAGGCGGCAGCACAGGGGATATGGCACTCTATCGCACAAGGGCTGACTGACTTATACGTGTACATGATAAGGGAGGGAAGCGGCGTGTGTCTATAATAGCGTTGCTGCTATACTGCGCGGTGTTGCGACTGTCTATCTATTCTGCGGGTGGGGGTGGTGTGGTGTGTGTATTGCTTACCACTGCAATTCATGTCAATGAGTGCATTCATGGCACGGCAAAACTCTTAGTAATATCGGCATCAACCAAGCACATGTCAATCAGTCATGTCACTGTTGTTCGATCACAAACCGACCGACCGTACTGGACTTATTTACTGCTGTTGCTGCTTGCCGCACTCAGTGCACTGTAGCCACTGACCTTAGCTCCTCCCCTCTCACAATGAATGCCCACACACGCGCCATCCATCCATCCACTTCCTTCGGCCACCCACCGCGTCAATGACAAAACAACGCTGCAAAAAACCATGTAAGTAACATGCACCCCATTGCTCATTGTTGGCGTGTGCGTGTCCATCAGTGTTGTGTTGTGCAGCCGCTATCGAAGAGCGTCGTCTGTCTGATCTGCTTTCCGCTTTGACCCCATCCCCATGCACATCACAAAAGCACGCACGCACACGACACGCAGCCAGCGTCAGCACTGTCCATAGAGAGAGAGGGGTCAATGCACTGCACGGCACGCTGTAGCTATCTATCAGTGAGTGAGTGATCATCCTTCCTACCGTCTTCAGACAAAGAGCCCCAGCCCCGCTGATGAGATGTCAGTGTACGTCGTAGTAGGTAGGTATGCAGTTAGTGGACACGAAATAAGCAACCACGCAGTCAAAAAGGGAGACCGAGCGCACGGAGAGATTGAGTGGGGAACATGTCTGTGTAGGGGCGGTAAGTGTATGTGTGTGTCCGCACCGCTATCTATATCTTACTGCATGCCGATCTGACCAAAGACTGACTGTCTGCTCGATTGACTAGGTAGAGAGGGAGGGAGCACTTGACTAGCTACTCCTTGCGACGGCCGGCAGATCGAGGGAGCCACTCAGCCAGCCAGCGACTCAGCCAGCCAGCCAGCCGCTAAAAAGAGTTGTGCATGCACTAACCCGACTGACTCATCCATCCATCGACCTGATGCCATGCACTCGTATGAGTAGAGAGGGTAGAGGACGCCTTACAAACACAGACAGATAAGATAGATAGATGGGTGGAGGGCTCCTTTAGGTAGGCAGGCAGGCAGGCAGTGAGACTAGAGAGAGAGAGTGAGTGTGTCAAGAAGACCTCAAAAAGATCGGCAGGCCGGGGAAGAGGGAAGTCCGCAGAGAGAGAGAGAGAGTGTGTGTGTGTCAAAAGAGACGCACCAAAGAACCGACTAATACTGTGCGTGAGTCGAGAGACGAGCAGGCAGGCAGGCAGGCAGGCAGACAGTTAGTTGCTCGTGTGTCCATCTACCCATCAGGAAGTAAGTGTTGCAGCTTATCCATCCATCCATCCGGTGCATATGCCGTGTGTGCGTGCGCGAAGCAGCAGAATGCTTTGATTCCCAGTCAGACAACAGGCAAGCAGACAGACAGACAGACATGGACGTGCTGTATGAGAGCGTAGTGGCAGACACGATGGCAGGGCAGAGGTGATAGCGAGATAGAGAGAGTGAAACATGTCGCACCCACCTGCCCGCCCACCAGGCTGACCACCCACACCCACCCCGCACCCTCAGCACGCACACATGAATAGACATACATACATAAGAAGGCAAGGCACACAGACAGACAGATGGACAAGCGACCATGCCGCCCATTCCTTCGCTTTGCTTCTCGATATCGTCGACCAACTGACCGATCGATCGAACGACAGGAGCAATAATCCCCCCCCCCCCCCCCCC